GTAATTAAACTAGGAAAAAAATCGTAATCGGTCAGTTTCTTACATTTCTTGGTATTTACTATTATTATTATTTAGGAGCGCCACGTTCATGATCTTCCCCACATAACCTTGAGGTTAAAAGAAAGAACGTGAAACTGGATCGAAGTTAACTGACAAAATTGCTTGATATTATGTTAGATTTTCGACGAAGGCATGTATTTGACGATTAAACAGCAAAAATTATCGGTCTGAACAACCTCCCACGTTGCAGAGCGAAAATAACAGCCATCTATGCACTTAATTTACGTAGGAAATCACTGAAATCACGTTAAACTAAATCTTTGTTGTTGTAATCCAGTCTGAACGAAAATGGATGAAATAATAAAAGGATAAACCTACCGACTCGCGCGAGGTCAGACATGGTTTGATTGTCAAATTCGAATAACTGTCCTATTCCGAAAGCCATCGCCGAGAATCCGGCTGCCGACGAAGCAAGGCCAGCACTGACGGGAAAGTTCGTCTCGGATGTGACGTGAAAATGCCACTTGGTCACGTCCATGGATGGATCACGGGATTGCAAAATGGCCCGCAACCGTGCGAAAAAACTATAATAACGCGTTTGCGGGTCGACAGGTCGCTCCTTCCCGTTCAAAGACACGCTGTCGCTCAGCCCTTCACCGTAACACGCCTCTACGGTTGATTTGGCACATAGAGCATCGACATTAACACTGATTGAATCGTTTAGCGGTAAAATCATGTCACCGGCTCGCTTGCCCCAATATTTGATCAACGCTATGTTAATGGGTGCGCAAACGGTCACCGAACGCTTCGTAGGATTCATCTTTCTTCGCTGACTGGCAAATGAAACCTGAAAAGCTGTAGGTCAAGCAAAAAGTGAGTCTACGTACAAATTAGTCACCAATTAAATCCTAAAGCCGCGCCTTCGCTATTAGTGCTGTCCTTGCGAAGTATGAACAGTGGATGAATAATGAAACATCCAAGACACTGCAGCAAGTACACATGAAACACATACTTGAATACATCATTTCTTGAAAGTTATTAAATTTCTGTCAAACATTATTACATTTTCAAGACTTCGTCAGCAATACACTTCTAATTTTTTAACCAATCACCATATGATACTGTACTGAGAAAAGTGCAGCGGCAAGTATCGTGAGAAGATTGCAGGAAACACTCAAACAAAAAGCAAAAGGAAAAGTAAAAAAGTAAGTCAATTCAAAGTTATTTAAGCGCTAAAAAAGGCACCACCGGTATCCAGAGATTAACGTCTTTCGACAGGTTAAGCAGATCTAAGCGCTACACAGACAGTGTTGTTCAGACAGTGAAAATACCAGGGAAGAGAAGATTACTAATCAATAATTAGCAGCATTTTATAGAACAGTACGGTGCAGCGTCACGGAAAATATTACTAGTGATTGTCGAGGTGAACCCTGTTAAAGCAATATTCGAAAAGGCACAGTCAACTGTATTTATTCCATTTGGACTAATTTGCGATCAAACTGATTTGAAATCAAATGATTCTTCTCCAAGAAACATTTGCTTTAAAGGTATCAGATCTTTCGCCAGACTGGTACACAATGAAGACTCACTCTGGCTTTAGCCCTTGATCTGCTTTATGACCGCCTTCGACATAGCTTTGCCCGAAGATAGTCAAACATACGAACTGTTCCTTCTCTAGACAGATAAATGACGTCTACGATGATCTAGACATGCGATAGGAATATCAGAGAAAAGATTCAAGCTGAGTCTCCCATGAAAAATCCACCCCAAAGAAGGCGTTTGTAAGGTTGAGGGAAACAATATCCAACTCAATCCACTGAGCTTACTCTATTGACAGAAGGCCACAAGATTCGGACAAATATCCTCAATTGCCCTCGTAATACGAAAGAAACAGCTTTACAGCAGGACTTTAAACTGGATGGAATGTCCTCAGTGGCTTGTCATATTTTTTCTTTGCACAAGGCCAAGAGCATGTTTTTTCTCCCTTCATTTCTTGATGTAGTTGACTTTCCTTCGGCACAGTTTGAGTCGCCATCCTCGATTAGGAGAATAAAACGCCCTAAGTACGCTAGACGAATTCAACGCAGAAATGTAGGTCAAATTTCACCCAACTGCTTGAAATCCACCTTTTAAGTGGTTACTCGGATAAAAAGGGAACGTACTCAACGAAATGAGCTGGAATAAGATCCACATAAAAATTCACGAGATACAATACAGTATTTTTTGCGATCATAATCGCATTGAATGAACAGCAGAAAAACTATTTGTTTATGCGACACACTTAGCCTACCATAACAGGTAACTGTACTGAGTATAAATAACCAGCTTTTGTGTTGTTTTTCTTTTGACAATAAACACCTAGAAATTTATACGTAAACTTTTCGTGTCATCAACCAACCCCGCTCGATTCTCAACCAGGGCTTCACACAGCCAACGGCGATGCTTATTAAAATGTGATCTTCAGGAAACAAAAAGGAAAATTGCCCTAGTGATTCCGCTCAAATATCCTGACGCACTTAAACACCATATTGCGTATGTCAGATGAGAAAAATATCATGTCCCAAGTGTTAAATAATGATAAAAATTCTAAACAATTTGCGTTTAATTACACGTAAAATGAATGAGGTTCATCGTCGCGAATAACCAGACGAAGGTTAGTATTAGTTTATTAAAATGCGAAGAGTAACAGACAACCTGCACAAAGATGTACACTCTTAAGTAGACACGCCGGGTAAAACAAAAACTCCCTCACATCTCATCCTGTTCTGGAGCTACGAATAAAACTGCAATCATACTGCAGAGAGGATAAAAGGTTGTAAGCTATGGCATGTCGGTCGTCCTTACACTTAAATAGTTAGGCAACTTAGCACTCTCTTGTTTCCATGAAGTTAATGGTGGGAACAATGATATTTATTTTCAAGCCAGGAGTGTCTTATTTTTAAAGACAGAACTAACAACGGCTGTGATTTGTATACATGTATTCTCCTATTTTTTCCCACTCATTAATCAGAGTATCATTCGCTTATCAAACTCGGAAGGAAAAAGGCGCGTGACTCCGGGCGGGTCTCGATAGGACCTTTCGGTTCCGGTTCGGTTCGGACCCCACCGACAAATTCCGGTCTAAAACAACGTAAGGTAAACTCTTTGCTCAAGGAAATTATAGTAAAGAAAAGACTGCCCGCGAGAGAATCGAACTTGCACCTTCGGAGATCGAGTTCGAAGCTGATAACTTATGCAATATGCCACAACGCCACCATCTTGCAACATCTTCCATTGGTGTTAGATAAGTCAAAATTGCAGCTATAGTAGATAGTATGAAACTACTCTTCGCTATTCGACGGCGTTTGCATTCAAAAACAAACAAAAACATTGGCTCTCAATTAAATGTAAAGGTACATGCAGGTAAGAGTCAATTCAAATGGAATTTTGTGCAAAAGTTCTACGAATTTATATACGTACTGAGCAGGTAAAGTATCCGGATCAGTTAAGGCATCACTGATCACCTGAAGGTCTCTTTCCGTACATACATGCAGTTCATAATTGAACCAGTAGCCTTCGTTCTTGACTGGCAGCTTGCTAAGGAATCATGCAGATGACGTGACGAACCGTCTAGAATTTTCTTAGCGAATCAGTTTGTGAAAGCACAGGCGATAGAGATCACAAGCCGAGCCAAGCGCTCATAAGGAAGTCTAGCATACCTAGCGAAAGATCTAAGAGAGTGCCTTAGAGTAGCGAAGTCGAGGACAGTAGGAGCCTTGCTGAACACGGACACCGTGTAGGTCACAGTGGGAGCAAAGGTGTGTCAGAAATACTATTTAAGCCTATTCAGAGCTGTGTCGTACCTTTCAGACGCCGTCCTAATTTTTGATTTGATTCGATGAACATGGTCACTCCAAGAGGTATTCCCAGGAAGACAAAAGAACTTTTCTGTAGTCATGCAGACATGGCGACACCGGTGGTTCAAGAGTTTCAAAAGAGCAGAATAGCGCAAAATTTCGAGGAGCAGTTTTTAGCGTTCATTTTAAGACCGTTAGTACTAGCCCAGCCTCCCCAGCTGTTGACATCCGTAAAGCAGTCTACCAACTCTTCACTACTTGCCACTGAGGCTGCGATAAAGGTGACATCCGCAAATTTGAGTCATGCGAAGCAAGCTGAGTTGACACTCATTGCTGTGCACTGATAACATCAGAGGCGAGAGTATCAAACACGGAGTAACACCAAGGTTCTTAGTCATAATGCACACATACCAGAAAACTGTCCACAGAACGAGGACATATCTCCATTAAGGACTGAAGATGATATACGCGATTACAACTATACAGCCCCTAAATAAGATGGCCATGTAACCTACGCGGATGAACTACCAAAATCAGCTGCAATAATCAAAAATTGGATCGAAATTTTCAACTTCGCTGTTCTACTTACAGACAGGCTTATGAACTCTAACACTAACAAAGGCCTGTCGACTACTGAGACACTGAGAAAGGAAACTGAAAAGCAGTAACGTTTCTTGAAACCTTCTGCAATCCCTAATATAACAGCAAAAAGCGATGGAAACCACAAGGGGAAAGCTGACTTCTTAACATTAATAATTGACATGCCAAATTTTCACAAAATTGTAACAAGGTTTAGTATTAGCGACTCAAAAGTGATGCCTTTGTTAGCACACACACACTTAATAAATTATTTGTTTAAAAATAGCAAGTTCCAACTTCAGTCAAAAGGCGAGACATAACATGGCATATAATCAGTACAGCGCCTAACGAACGCGTTCAAAAGAACTTAAGCTTTGCATCACAGTTGATAAGTGGTAGAGAACCTACGCACGTTTTAACAATAAAACTTGCAAATCATTATATCCATCCCGGTACATAAAATTACTTTTATGTTGGATCGGTCGGCAGAAGCCATTAGATGCCAAATACTAAATGACTTCTGCAAGACAATATTTCACATCTAACCGACCCTGATTTTTAATATTGCCTGGAGGAGAGCATTTACCCAGAAAAATACTCTTCAAACCTCCCTCAGTTGTTTGGTTAAGCATATTGCACAAAGATTCCAGCAACTGCTAAGTCCTCTAATGTATTTTTCTTCATCGAATTGCAAAATATTTATCTTGAAATATAAGTTAAAAATTATGAATACACTATTATAGAAAAAGTTTATCCACTGGTCAATTACTTTTTTGCAATTTTTTTATGAAATCATATCTCCGATGCATAATCAACTGGCATCCGTCATATTTGTTAAATTTAACTGAGAAATGGAAAGGATGTTTTTTTTATTCTGAGCAATTCAGTGTAATGATAATAAGCACTTCAGTAGGAATAAATGACCTAAGAAAAAAGTCTTCCACAGTTACGATTGCATATTCACTTTGCTATCATGTTAATGATATTGGCTTTTGATAACAAATACCAACTGAATAAACAGATCTATAAAGCACAGTGCAGAAGCGGTTCAATTGCACTAAACCGAAAAAGGTGTAGCGATTCATGATAGTCCACAATCCGCGTTCCTTACGACTCATCGGTCAAGAGCATTCTTTATGGTCATACAGGTGGCCTTGTGGCTAAATTTATTTACAGCAATTGTATCGCACCGAGCGTTAAACTAAACTGAAGATTCATTCTGCTGTCCCAAATGTGTACGGATAGCAGCCATGGCCAGGCGTATTCAACAGTTTTAACCTCACTGACGTGTGACTCAAATTCTCGATCTTGTTAATTCACTCTTCGGCTTGCAGATTCGTCATGACCATTTTTAACAAAGATATTTAGGACGCCATTACATGTCTCTGATCTATTTGCGTTTGTG